CCCCAAAAAAAAAAAAAACCTCAGGAGGAGAAGAAGAGCCGAGAGGCCGAGGAGCAAAAAAAGCTGCTGGAGCAGAGAGCTCTCTACGTGGAGAAGACCAAGAACCTGCTCACCTTTGCCGAAGGCGGCCTCAAGGAGAAAAAGAAGGGAGGTGGTGGAGGAGGTGGAGGACGTGTGAGTGAAACACACACACACTCAAATAAGACCAGGCGTTCTCACCATGGAGTCCTGCGGAATTTGCATGTGAAAATTCCTTATTTGAAGGAATATCACTCCTGGAGCTCAATGTTAATTTTCTAGTTGCCTGTTAACAGGATTGACCATTCACTGCTAACATTAGTACATGCAATTTTTCTCAAACGGACTATGCGTTGTATTTGACACAGCCTCATTTGCTAAACAAATACACTACAGAATATAATCTACAAACGGAACAGAATGCATTCTATCTATGGATGGGTAGGATATATTATAAAAAATGAGTAGCATGTGCTGGCTGGCTCGGCATCACATACATGTACTGCTCGAATTCCTGTATCGATGTTTCCTCTCCAAAGTGCCCCAGCTCTGTTTCGCCGTAATTGAAAACTTAACTTTGTGAGCTGATTTGTTTCCCCACCTTGATGTCAACATGTTGGTGTGAATATGCCGTGATAACAATAATAATAATGTCAGTTCACCCTGCCATTCGCTCCCAGCGCAAGAAGGGAGGCGACATGGACGAGTTTGTCAATGACGACTCTGATGAAGAGCTGCCTGTGAAGAAGAAGAAGAAAAAGGCAGCTAGCGGGAGCGAGCATGACGAGGGTGAGGACGGAGAGAAGAAGGCCCGCCGGAAGAGGAAGAAGTAAGTGCGCCGCTCTCATCTAGATCACTGATTCTCAAACGTGTACGGGAAGGATCACAGAGATCAAGATGAAATTGTGCATGATGTTACAGTGGATGAAGATTTTTTGTTTTTTTTAATGCAGTACAATACATTTATAAAGTACAGTTCAGTTGCATTTAACTTTTTACGTGCATCCACTATGTCCCGATTCAGTCACATTATCCGAATTCGGATCTGATCCCGCGGTTTACATCTGATCGGGGATCGGAGCGAAACCAAATAATCCAAAACTATTAATAGCTTGTCAAACGGAAGAGTAATATAACGTACAACATAAACGTAAATATATGTTAACATCGAACATTTTATTTTTTTTTTTAAATAGAAATGTATTGCTGAGGTATCAGCAGACCCTTAAAACCAAAAACTCCAGTGGCAAAAAAGTGTGATCGGGACATATCAAGCATCCATTTTTAAACTATTTGTTTTCAAACATGGATTTAGGTACAAATAGGTGAGTGGCACTGAGTTTTGATTTTTTTGTTGCCGCAGAGCTCCTAGAGAAGACGACAGCGATGATGAGGGCGGAGGAGCACAACCCAAGAAGCAGCGCAAAAGCAAAGAGCGCAAGAGGATGGAGAAGGTACCCTTTTTAATGTTGTTGGGAAATTACACTTCATGAAGCCAATTTGTTTCTTTATATTAAACTATTATATTGTTACTACAGTAGCACTGTATTAAACATTTTTTAAACATCTGTTTAGTTAGTTTTTATCTTGATGCATTTTAAGTTGAAAAAAAAAGTATATTTACTTTGACTCTAATACTGCAATACCAGGGACAATCAGCGAGATCAGTTTCTTAAACTCTCCCTTTCAGTTTCAGCCTGAGCGTCCCCCGCCTTCTCTCAAAGGAAAGATCAAATCAAAGGCAATCATCTCATCATCTGAGTCATCCGACGAGGATGGCCTGAAAATAGCGGAGGACAGGTAAAAGGCGAGCAGGAGGAGCTGTCCACGCAAAAATAAAAAAAGTCTCACGAGTCTACTTTCTTTCTCTTCAGGAACCAAAGAGAAAGCGGTTCCGGATCCGATGATGATGATGACGACGACGACCACAGGAAGCGCATCGTATCGGAAAGCGACTCCGACGCCGGGAGGAATCGCTCCGGTAGCGAGGCGGGCAGCCCTCAGGGGAGGAACCGTTCCGGCAGCGAGGCGGGCAGCCCTCAGCGCTCAGCGGGCTCCGATGACGACGACGACTCTGGCAGCGACAGCCCGGTGAAGAAGAGGAGGGTGCAGCGGCAGTCCGACTCAGACCAGTCGGAAAACGAGAGCAAGAGGTCAGGATCAGACGATGAGTCCCGACCCGGTTCACCTGTCGCGGCGTCTGATCGAGAATCGGAAGCGAGGTCAGACAACGAGGGTTCCCCTCGCCATTCTGACAACGGGTCAGAACCCGAAGGCTCCAACAATGATGATGACAGCGATTGAGTTGACAGACTTGTCTCATTTATGACCACACTGAAAATGATCTTACAAGTGTCTTTTTTTTTTTTTTTTTTAAGTACAACATCACCACATCTTTTGTTCTTTTTCCAGATCCATGAATGTTTTGAAAGAGTGAAATACTGTATTTTGTCATCCTAAAAACAAATGACATTAAAAAAATGCTTTTCAATTTCTCCACTTTTGAGTTTTTAAATGACGCTTTATTATGGTTTGGGTTGATAAACTAGTCAAAATCCAGATGTCGGGGTGAGGCATGGCAAGAAACTAGTTGCATCGCTGTATTAAAATTTTGAATTTGTCAGTTTTTATTTGGGTTTGATTTTTGTTTTTTATATTTGGTGGGTTTAATTAGTTTTGAGTTTGTATTTTAAAATATTTTGTTTTAGTTTAGTGATTATTTTTTTTGTGTGTATGGAATATTTGTCAAATTCAAGATAAAAAAATTCCAATGATCCCCAAATGGCTGTTTTGACTCTTCAGTATGGTCAGACAGCAATAGCAAAATAAATACATTTAATGTGTCAAAAGCTTGTTTATACATTTAATTGAAAACTGTGGAAGCTGATTTATACAGTGGTAGTAGTTTTATAATTGTAAAATTCTAGTGAGGATAAGCGCTTTGAAGAATTAATTGTCACTCCCCCGCCCCCTTCTAACCCCTTATTTTATTGCATTTCCAAAATTGTTTTTGTTTTCATCAACTTTAATAACCTGGTTGAATACCGTGTGGTTTAACAAAATGCTCAAGCGTCCAAGTAAGTCTTCCATTAAGATTCAGTTAGTGTATGTTCTCCCTGTGTTTATTTCCCTGGTGACTCCCACTTCCAAAAACATGCCCAGTAAGATGATTGAGAGCCTTCAAATTGTCCTTGGGTATGAATGTGAATGTCAATGGTGGCCAAAATCAGCTGGGATAGACTTCAGCTCATCTGCCAATGAGAACATGTGGTCGCCTTAAGAAAATCAATGGGAAACACCAGAAATGCAACAAAAACCAATTTAAATGAGAAAATTAGTTTTAAAAGATGCAAGTGCATCATCGAGTCAAACCAGGCCATCCTTGAATCATATCGCTTCCCATATATGGAAATACTATATTGTAGAGATTCACATCCCCAAATTTGATATGTTGGCATGCATACAGTATACTGTGTACATAGATATACATATAAAATCTCTGAAGGAAATGCCACATTAGCCAGAGTACTGACACATCCATTGTTGACAACTCATTGCATCACACACTCTTTTGAACCGAGTTGTACCATATAGAATCACAATCCACTGGTGCCTGCAGAACCACCTCCAGACCAGCCCCAGGAAAACTAAGGAGTTGGTTGTGGATTTCTGCAAGAAACAGTCTTCACCTGCAGCGATGAACATCCAGGATACGGACATAGAGAGGGTGGCCTCTTAAGTATCTGGGTGTTCTTCTCAACAATAAACTAGACTGGTCTAACAACACATCAGGATTGCTCTTCCTGCTCAGAAAGCTGAGCTCTTTTGGAGTTCAGGGGTCACCTCTTAAGACCTTCTATGACTTTGTGGTGGACTCAGCCATTCATTATGGTATAGTCTGCTGGACAGGTAGCATCTCAGCCTGGGACAGAGAGACTGGACCGACTAGTCAGGAGGGCCAGCTCTGTCCTGGGCTGCTCCCTGGACACTCTGGAGGAGTTGGGCAACAGGAGGATGCAAGCTAAGCTAACAGCTATGATGGAAAGACTCTCCCACCCCCTCCAGGCCACAACGCCACTTGCTCCTGCCGACTGCTGTCAGGCTATTGGTAAGGCTGTCCTAAAAACCTGGACTCACCCATTTTTAATATGCTTATAATTGTATACTTTTTGTTCTTCTACTTTCTCTCTCTGATAATTTTGCTGATGTAAATTGGGAATTTCTCCATTGTGAGACAAATAAAGGTTTTATCTTAAATGGTGTCACTATAAAATGAACCATCAAGTACTGCTGTTCAGCGATGATGCTTTATTCTGGTTGTTTCCGCTATTTATTCCCAACATCAGTATTTATCTAATTCACTTCTATTGTGATATCATGTGAGTCACATATTAGCAGGCAACACTGAACAGTCCAAGCAACAGACAAGTGACCGTGAAATGTACTTTATTCAAGGTTGATCTGCAGATGCCCACTCAAACTGTTGTTTACATTACATCGACACCCGGAAGAAAGCGCAGGTGGCCACATGCAATAAGATTAAAAAGACCACTTAAAAACCCCGATGATATGACAAACTGGAAACTAAGCTTTGGCTGTCTCGATATGATAAAACACGTTCAAGTATAGTCAGATACAGAGGTATATTCATAAAAAGTGATAAATTAAAAAAGGCAACACAGACTTACTTTACAGCACATTAATGTCCACACTCCAAAATGCTTGATTTTAGTATTTAAAAAAAACCTAACTGCCATCAAGTGAATTTGCAAGCTTCAAATATAAACGTTGCCGAAAAGCAAAATAAATTCATTGCTTAGCGGAAAACAAAATAAATGGCAGCGTATTGGTACCTCCCGTCATTAATTACTTGTGCCGTGTGCCACAAACATACAAAATGGCCGCCTGGTGGAAAATTCAACACAAGAAAACAAAATGATTGGAGGAGCTTCCAGACAGCTGTCAAGCACACAAATCTGCAATTTAGGATTGTTCTTTATATCAAAAAAAAAAAAAAAAAAGTGTATGATACTATTGCAACGACTCATGGTGTGCAGCAAAGTGCATCTAAAAACAGCTAAAAATGAGAGTCTCTTTACAATACATGCTCTCATTTGTAAACAGCAGCACGTGATGACTGCGACCAGATTCTGAAACCGTGTGTGTATGTTCGGCAAAACACCTCCTGTTAGGCTGAATGCAAATCAATTCCTAAATATACTCGGACAAATGACCTCTTTAAATAAACAGAATGGTAACATGCTGGCGCTGGTTTAAGTCGATTTATAACAGTGGCGTTGTTGCTGACTGAGGCCAAGTAGATAAAATAGGAATCAAATTCCAACATTGGGTTCGGGGATTCTTAGTAATCTTCATCCTCCGACTCTTCGTCTTCAGCGGTTTCCAGCCAGGTAAGCCACTGGTTCACCTGCATGGCAAACAACCAACAAATCAGACACTGGCTGGACAGCATTTTCTAGAGCAGTAGCTGTCCAATCTTTTTGCAATCGATTAATCTGATCAAATTAAAAATCAAATCAACATTTTTTGTTTGAAAACAATTTTTCTGATTAACTGATTATTTTTGTTTGTTATTTCATGATTTCATGAAGGTGCAACACTTGATAGGCAACTGATTTGACGATCAGATTAATCGTTTAATTTGTTTTTGTCTAGGTTTTGTCACGAAATAAATTCAACAATGAGTTGAATTTAATTGTGGCAGCGAAAATTGCGATCACAACTGATAGGCGATTAAATGTGAAGCTATACTCCTAAACAATCAAAAGTCTTGAATAACTCATTTTTATGCTCATGAAGCCATTTCATTCAGTTATATTTATTTCTAATAGTTTAATGTTCGACTGTATTCTCGACAGTATGTATTTTGTATGGGATATATTGTTTCAGTTTTCAACCAAGTTTTAGTCAAGACTCTTCAGAACAGATGCATCATAAAAACAAACGTGTTGTATTAATAGTCAACCGTCATATTTTCCCTCCCTTGAACATGTTGGTGTTTCATTCTCTTTTGTATGTGTTGCTGCTTCGTTTGCATTAAGTGGTGTGAGGGGGGCGAACATACGTGAAACAAGGCTTTTCCTTTTCCCGGATACTCTTGGGTGACGTCTTCTTTCCATGTCAGGAAGGCTTCTTCTTCGATGATTTCCATGTCATAAAAGTAGGCAAAGAAGCGCAGCAGCATTCCTGGAAGCAGAGAGCGAGGTTAAGCATTTCTGACTACGTGTGCGTGTGTGTCTCCGTGCCGATGGTCACCTTTGGGGAAGTGTTTAGCGTTACAGTGGACCTGCAGCGCGTAGAGGGCGCTGACTTGCAGGTCAACGTGGTCGTGCAGGAACTTCTGCATGACGGGCTTGAAAGAGAGCAGCAGCTGCTTCTCCTCATCCAGCTGCTCTTTGCTCGGCGCTGCCAGCTGCTCTTCGTCATCATCTGGGTTGATCTCATAGGCAATGTACTGCAAGAAACTAGCAGGGAAAAAAAGGATATTGAAAGCAAGCAAGAGGAAATAAGAGTGGATGTGTGAAGGAGGGTGCTGGGTACCTGGTTGTGAGGATGTTGACGAAGCCTTTGTCAGTGTGGAGTTTGGGAGAGATGTTGTCTTTAATCCACTTGTAGATTGACTGTGGAGACGGGTCCACTTTGATTTGCTTCAGGAGCTCCTTCTCCAGCTTCATCAGTGGGAACAGGAAGCTCAGGCCTTTGCCCTCCAGAATCTCCAGCATGCGGTCCTTGTTCTGATCCATTTCTACAGACGGGACCAGTTTGACTATTATGTAGTACAGTACATACAAGTATAATCGATTCTATGCGAAGTTGCCTAGCAGATGGATACAGTGCATTATATTATTATTATTATTAGCGCAGGCGCTGTTGGGTAAACATTACCGCTTGGATGCTTTATGATGTAATGACATAGCTCCTACTTGGCTCTTTGCCGGTGGAAAACCAAGCACGTTCTTCGTAAGAACTTGTTAAGCACAACTCTGGCGCCAAACAAGCACCGGGTTACTTCATAGAGCCACGCAAGCGCTTGCAAATATGGGCAAGCTTTTACCGCATCTTTGCGCTGTGCCATGCACACTAAGAAAGCCAAGTGCAATGTGAGAGGGCCTTCAGGCTGTCGTTGCCCAAGTCTTAAACAGTTAAATTGCCTCTCTTTTCTGCTTTGTGACTTTTGAGTATTTTACCAAGTGTACAGATGTTATTGACTGAGATTTCATTGCGGAACAACATTTCAGTCCATCGATTACCCAACGTTCTAATCTATACCAAATTAGAGTCTATCCCGATGCATAGAGGTGAGGGGGTGACAGCCCATACCAGGTAGCATCTTCTGCATGTTGACCTTGCTCTTCTG